ACGCACACAAGAAAGCACGATTATTATCGCGATCTTAACCTGGACGGCCTGGCGTCGAACTCTGAACCCTGACGTCGAAAGTCAAAGCAATCCTTGATGAAATTTCGACGGCGACGCATTTAAGCATCCATGAATTACGAGCTTAAGGAATTCTGTAAGGCAATTTTTATACTTTCATGTCGTTATGTGCCGTTTACGTCCCATTCTGAAACACAGTATGGCCAACGTACTGCAAAGATTGGTTAACAAGTGCTACCAACCTTCCCGTGAAGGGTCTTGGTTCTTTACTTTAAAAAAAAGTCAGATAGAAAATTCGAGGTTGGTAAATCAGATGACAAACAAATCAGAAATTCTTTTCCGGTACGTTGGCCATACTGCGCAAAGAAAGACAACGTCTGCAGCAACTCCACACTCTAACAACCGCCAGTTTAAATAACGACGTTCAACACCGCTGGATACACAAAAAACCGCGATTTCCAACATAAGCTGTTGCATAAGGTCGGGATAGATCACCTCCACAACAGCCGACGACAAAACCCACACTCGCATCCTCCATACACCAAGTGTGCACTTAGGACGAGGTCGCCTCGACAAGAACCACGGGGAACCAATCGAAGTGAGCGAGCGAACGTTTTCAGACTGGTGATGAACGCGTTCAATCGTCACCAAACGCGCGCGTAAGAACGTCTACCAGTGACAAAAGCGACCGTGAAACCACGTGACCTACGGCAATACGTTATTCTTACGTTCAAGTAATATTATCGACTTTTAGCTTATATCGATCAAGCTTCCAACGGCAGTAACTCGCTTTACTGTTGAATGAATACGCACGTAACAAGTTTCCGGTCCGTCTGTCTGTGTTTATCAGACTGCGTCCTTCACAAACCACCATAAGACAAATCTGGAGCAGTCATATCGGACGCAGACAAGCATTTTTCAAACCGTACGGAGCAACTGCTGGTACCCGCGAGGCCCTGCTTATCTCAATCGAGTTCTGCAAGCGAGAATTCGTGAATGGACACCTTTCCACTGCGCCCTTGTGGTGTCGATTTGGTCCAACCCAGTTCAAAGGCTCGGCGAACTGGCCACGTACACGAAAATGCATTTTCCGGAACGGAGCTGGCGAGTTCTTACACACGCAGAAAGGGACGCTTACATTAATTTCAACAAACCGGAAGGGCCATTTTGCTAATACTCTCATTTCATCTCGTAATCATCCTTAATACGAACTCTTCAACATTCTAATTCACAATTCGATTAAAAGGTGACTGCATTAAGTCAACAAATATACGGTTTCATACGATAACAGTTGCGCTGTGTTGCTTCGCGACTACCAGTGACTTTAGCGACGATAAAGTTTTGGAAAATTTCTCAAGGTCTCATCCAAGTAATCTTCTTGAAATATCCGCATGAGTTGCAGCAGCGCGGAATTCCCAAGTGAAGTTCCTTATAATTCCAAATGTACCATCACCGCCCACAGAGCAGCACGATCTACCACTAATTGGCTTCTAGATTCTTCACCTTCGAGGTTTCAGCTTCAAATCGGCAACGAAGACTTTCTTCCTCGCGGCTTCGTCTCTCCCTTGCATCGATGGAGCAGAGCCATTCAAGACAGCTGACAGTTGCGCAACTGGTCCCCAATACTGAGCAGGATGAATCACATTCACATCCTCTTACACTGTTTTCAGATCCACTTTAATATTATCCTCCATATTTAGTACTTTGCCAGATTCCTTGGGTAAAATGTAAGAGACTAGTTGCAGACTATAACACGAGCGAACAAATTCTGATGATAGGACTTGCTATAAACGTACGAGCTGTTTTATCTGCGCCTTAAACTTAGGTGTTCCACACTACGTGAAGAACACAGAGACAGGTGTCTCGTAACGAACTGGTTTAGAGCACCCTGTATTTACGTCTGACAAAAAGCAACAGGGAACTGCGAAAAAAGCGCAATGAAGAGCTTCAGAGACTGTACTCTTCAACGCCTGTCAAAAATAAGATGGCGGAACGTGCGGCACTCATGGGGAGGTGAGAAATAAATAAGGCATTTCAATCAGAAAACGATCACTTGATAGACCTGAGAGCAGATGGTACGATTGCATTAAAATGGCTATTAACGAAGTAAGGTATGAGAGAATGAGGTGGATTCAGCTGGCTCAGAATTGGCTGCAGTCGTAGAAACCTGTAAAAAGGGTAATGAACCTTCGGGCTACGTAAATGGTGGATTCTTGACGAGCTGAGCGATTATCAGCTTCGTGACCGGAGTAGCGCGCTGCAGTCTTACGAGAGAACAGCTTCACTGTCGCGCAGACAACGAGCAAAATGTGTTACCTCCTGATCCTGAATTTATTCCCGCTGCCGAAGACCATTTTGAAGTCTGTCGGGTGTCTCGTGGTCCTTCCTTCACATCACGTCACTTCTCAACACACTCACACATCACAACCGGACGCTGTCTGCTCGGAAGGCCGACTGACTCTGCCGAACACGTCTCCTGGCTGGCGCACTGCGTCACGCCGCGGGCACAACCACTGGACCGGCAGGTAGAACTCGCCGGACCGTGCCGAGTTAGCACCGGCACATGATACAAACGTGGCCCGCAGGCCACACATGACCCGCAATGTTCCAAACACACTCGAGACTTGAACAGCGCTCTCTTTTTTTGTCTTCAACTAAACGTGTATTAAATTCAGTTCCATCTTGTTCGGGAAATATTTTTCGTTCCTAGAGCATTCCAGTCAAAGACAGTCGATGTGAAACATGTCATTACGAACCACGAAAGTTCTGAATAACGTTAAGTACACCGCGCCAGGTCATTGGACCCGTCTCGCAGCTCCGCGCCGACCAGGCTTCCCTTCCGGTGGTCTCTCCACTCTGCAGAACTAACTGCTTCGTCGTCTTCTCCCCCTCATTTCTAGGTTCGGTGAGCCCATCGCAGATAGCGTGCCAAAAACCACTGGCATCACAAGCCCCACACCTGGGCTCAGACGGAAATCACGACGAAGACCAATTCTGTTCGACGACGCCAGGAAATGACGTTCCTCCTCCTCCTAGGATCGAGATTATTCTGATAAAACCAATGCAGATTCTCATAGGCTGCAAGGACCTCTGAAACGTCGGAAAATATCTGCCAGACTACACGGCGCAACAACCCAGAAGACAGAAATCTTCATACGAATGTACAGACAGCATCACAGAGAAACAAATGGAAACTGCACATTGACGTCTGATTAAAATAAATCCTATTATCCTGCAATCTCAATATTATCTTTGTTAACGAGATAGCATCCTGATAAGTTAAGCGCAAGGCAAAAATACACGTCAGCAGAATCATTGCGTGGAATCTGGCACGAAAGAGGCCTTACCTGTCTATTCTTAGTGATTAGCAAGTATAGTTGTACGAGACGTGTCAGAATAATATTCGGTCAGAGTGGGTTAAATGCCTGTGATCTGCGTCCTTTTCTGCTTTAAATTACGCCAGTTCCAAAATACACTGGCGTAAGCGTAAAAGCAGAATAATTCATTACACTACAAAGTTCATTCTGTTTCCGTACGAATGACAGATAAGCACCAGATATCATTTTAGCACGGAGTCGCGAATGATAACGCTTCTGTCAGGCTATTTACCGATCGCTTCAAGTTGCTTCTCGACAGATCGGAACTGGAAAGTTCAGTCCACTCTTAATTCTATTGAACGCCCAGGAACAAAAGTATCTCTGAGGACAGATCGAACGATACGCAATAAAACAATTGGCATCCGAGTTTACGTAACAGAAAACCAGGTTATTTTTTCGCGTGGTTTTTGTGTATGTTTCTCCTGAGAAAGTTTCTTCGACAGTCGAAAGCGGAACGGCGAAATCAGGTATGGCTCACAGCAGATCCACCGAAACCACGATCGATTTCATTTCATTCGGCTTCTGTGAACTGGGGACGATAAGGATCACGACTGATTAGCTGACAGTCGCTCAGCTGATCACACGAAATTTCCCGCCTACCACCGTGTCGACGGAACTGCATCCTGCGTCCGTCTAATCCAGCCAACACCTTCACACCATTTCTTTTTTCAGTTCATGTTCATGCCGTCTACTTCTAGGTGAACCAAATAGCCTCTTTCCTTGAGGCTACCCAAGCCTTAAACGCATCTCATGCCACCAATGAGGACAACCGGCGCTGGGCAGAAGCTGGACGACTGATTCACGAATTGGCGTCTACCCCTGCCACTAGGCTACCCCCAAACCACGCAATTATCACCCAAGTTTAGATCTGCAATAATCGATACTAAACAAACTTGGCAGCTGAGACGGCATCGTTAATGAGGCACCGAGTATAAGCTGCAAGAGACGCCTTCAATATGTCTGACTGCGGCACAGATAGAAAATGGCCTTATTACGACGTAAGTTCACTGTCTGTCCAACAGGAAGTATGAATTACCGAGCTCAAGACTTCCATACCCAAATTCATTGAAACTTAAACAAGGGGAGGGCTGAAATGAAAAGGAAAACTACAGAAACAGAATTCAAAAATCGGATTCTGAACACCCGAGACCACAGCCGATTGAAGATTTTGAAGGAAACTTATCTGCACGTCCTCCTGCAGGCAAACACGTGACCTTGGAGCTTAAGTTCTGCACGCCATCAAATAATGAGGACGCTTCCAGGAAACTTCACTCAGTCCACAAACGCATCACAGATTATGCACACGAGATTTCGTGTTGAGAAGCTGACAGTCGCTTACTTGGCCAAGAAATTCCCAGCCTATCGTGGAACCCGATGGTTTATTAATTACCATGCGACGCGACGTTAAGACAGACGGTCGACACTGAAGCCACTAATATTACCGATTTAATGAAGCGGAGTCCCCGAGAAGCTACTAGTTGCTCAACTGGTCAACAAATTTCCCACCACTCTGTCCACAAGTGGCCACACCATCTGTCCACAACATGAACCAGCTCCGTCAACGCCACAGTCACGCGTAATTTCCTTAAGATCCTGTGTTTCTGACTTGATGGAGGGGCATGCTGCTTCCATCTTCTGACACAAAGTATGCGTGTCGGGATTGCACTTTTAAGGCTTTTTGCAGGATATGAAGACAAAATAATGTCAACTGGAAAGTGGGAAAATATCAAAGTATCTCATTCCTGACCTGGAATGGCCAGTTATTTATTAAAAATGACATTCAAATTTAAAGACGCCTGAATTTTAAGCGACGTAAAGATTTTCGGATTTCGTAACAAAGATTACAGTAAATCTCTGAGCAAAGAACGTTCCTACTTACGGTTGGCTGTTCACAGCAAGTCTGGTGACTGGTGACGAAGGCTCCAGGACGCTCTGCTCTGCCTCGGCAAAATGCCGCCAATCGCCTTTAATTCCCTCAGAACATGCAGCGGGTGGTGACGGTAAGACTCCAGGATCCTCCGTGTGCTGCTGCCGACCCGGCAGGCCGTTGTGCTGTTTGACGTGTGGCGGGGATCTCGTCGTTCTCAGAGGTTCGACCGGCACGTCAGTTTCTCCATTCCTCACCGCTGTCGAGAAACTCGGAAGACAAGCTTTTGACGGCAGCAGAAATTCCCCATTCTTTAAACCTGATCTATCTGCGGACCTAACCACGTCCACCGACCCGTCTCTCTGCTTGTTCTGTTCTGAAACGGGCGTCGCAAGTTTTCCGTTCACCACGAGTTTCTGAGTGGGATATCGTGCCGACGATCTGCCACCGTCAGCGCGCCTGGACAAAGGCACTCCTGCAGAAGTACAAGTGTCACTTTCCAATGGCTTGATGGCCGAAGTTCTTGCAAACGCGTCATTCATATTTCTATATGCCGGAGACGTCACAATGTAACCTTGATGACTCAAACTGCTACCAACTGCGCCACACTCTTGCTTCCTAGTCAGTGTTGCACTGCTGACATGCCTGCCCACAGACACATCAGCAGCCATGGGTCCAACACCATCCAACAGGCCCGCGGTAGCATCTCCGTTTTCCGCTCGCTTCTGGCTCGAGGCACCATTTTCCAGACGTCTCTGGGACGATCCGTTCTGCCGATACCCCTGGACTGGATTGCTGTTGACTGTGTGTCTCTGAGTTGCACTGCCACACTCCAAGTGTCTTTGGGACGTATTAATACCGTCAAGACGCTTCTGTGGTACAGCGCGGTCTTCAATGTGTCTTGGCAGTGAAAAGCCTCGTTCTGGATGCCTTTGGGATGACATTCCATTTTCTATTTGCCCGTGTGCTACGTGGTTGCTGTCTGGACTGTTCCTGTTTTTGTGATATTTCTGTTGGGCTGAGGCACTGCCGTCTCCTTGACTGGGGTCTTCGCCGTGTCTCGCGGATATCCGAGCGGCGCCGGCTTCAGAGGGACTCTGAGGTGATGGCATATTTTCTGGACACTGCTGTGTCTTGCTGCCAGGCGATTTCTGAGGTGAGCGGGCAATGTTTTCCGTGTGTCTGTGGGCCGAAGATTCGCCGTGGATTGGACTGCCACTCCCTGGACTTCTACCTGAACTACTTTTTAAATGCCTATGGGTTGTGGCATCTTGGTGCCGCTGAACTGAAGAAATATTTTGCGACAACTGTTTTTGGAGCAAAGACGTTCTTTCACCGTGAGATTCAGATCCAGAGATCTTGTCTGGTGAATGAAGTTCTGGAGGTGGAGGAGGCAGTGGTTCGTCCGATGCGAACACTTCATCTTCAAGCACCGGTGGAGGAGATGGGGGAGGCAAGTCCGGACTTGGCAGTCGCTCCGGAACGGGCGGCGCAAAAGCAGCTCGCAGATGAGGTTTCTTGGGGGGTCGCTCGGGCACCCAGTCATCGACAGAGATGGATGGACCGACTATGAGCGGTCCAAGCAGATCAGCTGACAGAGAGCCACAACTGGAACTGATCAAATTAAAGGGCAGTATATAACGGAAACGCAATACAAACTTTTACAACTGGGTATACCACCAAATGTTTCGCCCTCTTACCTGTGTTGATGGCGTGGGCCATCTCGAATACTTCCAGACTCAGAATTAACATTTTCTTTGTTTACTGCCATCTGTGAAAAACACAGACACATGGTATCACATATATCAGGCATACCAAAAGTTTAAAGGAACATTTCATTGTCAAAGCATCTGTGGCATGAGAAGGAACCGCATTACAGCAATCACCGCTCACCTCTCGCCAAGCACCACCAGCATAATCCGATGCTGACGAGGCCCTGCGAGCCGCGTGAGGTCGAGGGGGAGGGGGAGGTTGGGGAGGAGGCGACTGAGGACAAGGAGCGGCAGAAGCTGGCTGCGCCAACTGCGGCTCCGATCTCCAAGCCTGATTCCTCGTAGTGGCAGAATGATGGCGTTCATAGAATGACAACAGTGCTTTCTTCTGGATGGCTTTCAGCGTCGGATCTGACACTCGATGTCGCTTGTCAGGATCCAGGTAGGTGTAACGCGTCTGCTGGCGCTCCAGCTCGCTGATCCTCTCTGCTACGGACAGGGCGGGTGGCGGCAGAGACACCGGAAGCAACCTGCCGACACACGTGCAATAGCCATCTTAATATCTGTGTGTGTTTCAGTATCTGCAAACCTGGAGAAAAGTAAAGAGTAAAGTACTACACGCCATGTAGGCGCTTGGGGGGAGAGAAAGTGTAACACCTACACATTCTTGACCTCAGCACTAGGTGGGGGTGAGTGGTTAGTATTGCCAAGAAATTTTGTTATTAAAAACACCAGGCTTTTTCTCTGGAATGGAAGAGCTTAGCAGTTAACATATTTCGTCATTTGTTTCAACTGTGAACAGTTCAATACCTGGAACATAAGACAAACAAAAACAAGATGAGAAAGGTTATGATTTGTATAACGATGATCACTACCATTCCT